AGTTGAAATTTATAAATAGGATGATTGGTGTGAGCCTCATTGAGAAGATGGCATTTGAGTTCTCCTCCAGTTCTATTTTGATTCTATCCAGTGACTTTTGCAGTGACTACTTTATTTAGGAGAGGACAAGGTGATGAAAAACAAGAACCGTCTATTCCTGATTCTTGAGCAGATCAGCCTTGGCTTTAGAACATATATCACGAACTAAAAAAATAAAAAGCAGAACATCTTGGAAGGATGTGTGGGCTATCCTCCAACCTCCCAACTATGGTAGATTCAGGGTGAGGCAAATCTGGCATTAGTTAATTTCTTGGGGCAAGAATGCTCGACTATGGCTCTAAAATATCACTGGAAATGTTGGGAGAAGGTTAAAAGTGTGTTTGACACTCCTCCTTTTCTGGGGAATCTGTATGTTTTCATGTGATCGATTTTGACACCCCGAGGAGGTCAGAAGTCTCATTAAGTCTCACCTGGTTAGGGCAGAGTTCTCAAGTGATAATGAAGCAATGCGATAATGCCTTTTAAAGAGGCAGATCTGAGTAATCACAAGTATTTAGTTTTGCTAAATAAAGTTTTCAAATTTGTATCTAGTCTTTATATGCAGGGAGAATGCACTAGCTTGCTACTGCTCCTGCTGTAAAAAATTACCACAAGCTTGATGACTTAAAAAACACAAATTTATTATCTTACTCTTCTGGGGGTTAGAAGTCCCAAGCGGGTTGACAGGGCCGCATGCTTTCTGGAGGCTCTGAATATTGTGGGGGACAATTTCTTGCCTTTGCCTGCTCAAGTTTCTGCACACAGCAATGGCATCACTGTGACCTTTGCTTTCCACCACTGCATCACATCCTCTGACTCTGACACTCCTGTCTCCTTCTTATGAGGGTCCTTGTGATAATATCGAACCTACTGTAATTCAGGAAAATCCACCATCATCTTAAAATCCTTAATTTAGATCATTTTCAAAATCCCTTTAGCCATATAAAATAATGTAGTCACAAGTCTCTGGATTAAAATAATGTTGGGTGCCATTGTTCAAACTACCATAGAGAGTAGGCCAATATCAAGAAATTCTGCTTCCTTTCCACCCCCCACCATACTGAATGAATTACTCACTTCTCATTCTAAACAACTGTTGAACAACGTTTAAACATTTTGAAATATTGGTGTGAATGTGCACCAAATCAATATTCTCTTTAGGAAATCCACATATCTCAGTGTGGAGTAGGAGTAAAGAGCTTTTTCAACATAGGCTCAATGCCTGACATGTTTGGCCTACATAGTCACCCTGCTTAACAGTCTACTCACACTGGCTGGAAAGAAGGGAGAACGTATGACCAGCCAGAACGCTAATACAACCGACCTATGTTACGGTAGTATTTCTAATTTATAGCCCTTGAAATTCTTTGCATTATGCTCATGAATAATCTGATTCTTCTCCATCTGCCTTTAAAGGCCAGGACCTATCAAATCTGGTTTTGTTTATCAACCAATACCAAGCTAAACCTTCAGTCAGTTGCCTAAACCTAACCTTGATGCATGCAAACTTACTGTCTCCCAACTACCACCAAAGTAATTAACGTAGCATAATTTTAGCTTATAACTGTTTGGAAGTTTTCTAACAGGCTTTAATATCCATGTTCAGCCAACCTGTTGATAGTTTTAAATTGACTTTATTTGGTTTGATAATTGTATATTTTAGTCTTGTATTGGTTGTATTATTAGGCAAAATCACCAAACCAAATAATTAAAAATTTTTAGTGGTAGAGACATGATTGTTCAGCTTCAAGTGAAGATTTTTAAAATTAGTTCCATTATCTTATTTCTCATTTATACATTGCTACTTTAAAACAGAACTTTACAAATTATCACATTTGACAAAAGAGATCTCCATACCTATTCACTTGTAAACATTTAAAAATTCATTTCTAGAAAGAGAGTATACAGTGTGGTGGTTTATTCTATGTGTCAACTTGTCTGGGCCATGAAGTATCCAGATATTTGGTCAAAAATTATGCTAGGTATTCCTGTGAGTTATTTTTGGGTGAGATTAATATTTAAATTGGTAGACTGAGTAAAGCCGATGCCCTCCATAATGTGGATGGGCCTCATCCAATCAGCTAAAGGCCTGAATAGAACAAATGCTGACTCTCTCCCAGGTAAGAGAATTCTCCTGCATAATAGCCTTGGAACTGGATGCTGGCTCTTCTGATTTTAGACTTGTCAGCCTCCATAATTGCATGAGCCAATTCTTTATAATAAATCCTTCCTTCCTTCCTTCCTTCCTTCCTTCCTTCCTTCCTTCCTTCCTTCCTTCCTTCCTTCCTTCCTTCCTTCCTTCCTTCCCTTTCTTTCTTTCTTTCTTTCTCTTTCTTTCTTTCTTTCTTTCTTTCTTTCTTTCTTTCTTTCTTTCTTTCTCTCTCTTTCCTTCTCACTCTCTTTCTTTCTTTCTTTCTCTTTCCTTCTTTCCTTTCTTTCTTTCTTTCTTTCTTTCTTTCTTTCTTTCTTTCTTTCTTTCTTTCTTTCTTTCTTTCTTTCTTTCTTTCTTTCTTATCTCCATCAATCAATCAGCTATCTCTTCATGTTCTTTATCTGTTTCTCTGGAAAACCCTGAGAAATACATAAAGTCTACCCGAGCAAAACCTTAAGTGGGATGGTTTAAAGAATTTATTGGTGGTTTCCTGAGTTACTTGATGTAAGTAATAGAATTTCAATCAGGTGCCTTATCTGAAAGGTGTTTACTTATAACTAAGAAATGGTTCTCTTGTCTCACCTATGAAACTCAAAATATTAGATACCTCTTGTGAACCACCTAATTTCCACTGTCTACTCATCTTTTGTTGTATCAACCAACTTCACAAAGGTAACCTAACAGATTTTTTTTCAGATGCACCACATTTCAGTGGCTCTCCTCCTGTGACTTTTCTGATGCTGTAGCCCAGCTCTCTGTAGGAACCAGTTTGGCACTGAATTTGTGCATATCAAGAGGTGTGAGGAAGTGAATTCCTCCTGAGTCAGCCTTTAGTCAACCCAACAAGGGACTGTGGCAGGCACTCTTAGATAGAAGTTCCCCCTTTTATCCCAACGCTAGTGAATTCTGTGATGCATTCTACCTGATTCCTCAAAGCGTCCCATTAGGGTCAAATCCCAGTTGCCCTCGGTGATTGCCAGCTTGAAAGTCCCACCATTGTACTCATTTTTTTCACTTTCTATTTCTTAGTCTTCCCAGTTTTCTGCTTCTATTACTTCTATTCAATTCTCAAAGGAAATTACTAATAGAAAATCCCTTGTCCTAGACTCTGTCTTCTGGGGACAAACTAGGTGAAGACACCCATGACTTGTGTTTATCTCCTATTGTCTTCTTGGTGCATTTTACTAATTCTTTTTATATATTGTTACCATTCTCAATTTTCTTATCATTTTTTAAATCTTCATTTTGACATTGTGCCTTTTTGGAGATAGAAGTGGACTTTGCAGTTATAAAAAGGCAAGATGATGGATGCTTGTGATGATGGAACTGTTCTTTACCTTGACTGTGGTGGTGAAAATGAAAGCCTACCACTGTTATAAAAATGAATAAAAATCAACACATGTACACACACACACACACGTAAAATTTTGATAAGATTTATGGATTGGATCGATGTCATTATAATGGTTATGATGTTATAGTTCTGCAATTTTATTGGAGGAAACTGGTCTAGGTACATGAAATCTCTCTGTATTGTTGCTTATAACTGCATATAAATCTATAACTATCTCAAAACCAACATTAAAGAAAGAGCTATTTTGCCTTCTTTGAGAGTATCTCTTAAATTTACACACACATGGAAACCGCATTCATTTAGCAGGTTATCAGCCAGCTTAAATGTTTATGTATACATTTGTAAGAGCCTGTTAACTAAATTATGAACTAATATTAAAATCCTATTTGCTTTTAAATATAAGCCACCTATTATGCCTCTGTGCTTTGAATGAGCTGGAATCTAGTGGAAATATTCTATAAAGGATTAAGTAAGAAGAACATTCTCATTTGCTGCTTTCAATTTTAAGAATAAAATCCCTCCTAAGCTATTACACCTCTACTAAGAGAGAATACTTGTTATGAAGGAGGCTCATAAAAGCATGTTAAGTTAGAGGTTTTTATTTCCACTTTAAAAATTTTTACAAGAATATCTGTACTCAGTTAAATCCCTGGTTTTGCAAATGGAAGATGTCATTGAGCATTTCTATTAGGATAAAAAAATATCAGCTGGATGGAACAGCTACCCACCTGCTTCCTAAAACTCCAGTTCAGAGACTAAATTTATATTATGTAAAAATTATGGGTTTCCCCCATTAAAAACAAGTTAAGCATATACTAAAACAAAAATGTTACACACAATGCATTATAATTTTAAAGACCCATTTTCTTTGGAATTATTTATAGCAACCCAGGACAACTTTAGGAAGGAAAGAAATGACAAAAACAAATTGATATGGTGCTTTCTTTTATTATCATTTGTTTAAAATCTGGCCAGTTACATTTTTCTATAATTACTCCATCCCCTCCCCCCAACACATGTGTAATACACAGAGTTTTCATTTGTGTACGTCACTCTCCAATGCTCTTTCCCTGTTTTAGTTACCCTTGGCCTATACCTTGACATTCTGCAACCTGTCTCAATAAATTCAGAACACAAGCATTTACCGGCAGCAAATGTGAATGGTTCCCCTAGAAATATAGCATCCCATAAAAACTAAAGCCAAAGGAAATAGAAGGGTGAGGTCAGGTATAATTTTCTCTTCACAGCCTTCCTCATCTTTTTCTTTTAGGCTCAGACACTGTGTTGATCTCTGTCTATTTTTATGGCTAGATTAATTCTGCGATTTCAACGAGTTGGAAATTTCAGATTATGTCGCTTAGACGACCTCAAGAGTGCTGTTCTCTAAAAATATGTGAAAAAATAATAGAAAGTTTTGAAAAAAATAAAGTTGAGACTTGCAGACCAAGGAGATACCTTAGAGGTGATCTTACTCAGCCTTTCCATTTTATGAAGAGGGAGACGAGGAAGGGACAGTTGAATGATGATGCTTTAGGCTTGTATTCCTCTTCTATTGGCTGTCAAATCCCCTGAGCCTGCTTCAGCAGTAGTACCGATTAAAGGCTGGTCATGTCTCATGTCAGGGAAGTAGGCAGCATTCCGGGCTAAAGGGTTGAATAGCTCATATTAAAATCAGAATTTCGAATGCTTGAACTTTGAATATCCATCCACCCACGTCGAGTGTTAGGATTTTAACATGTTGTCAAGGCCCTGCTTTGTGCATTGCAATTATCCATGACTGGGTGACTTTTACCCCTGTCCCTCAAGTGTTCACTTCTTTCCCTGCATAATGCCCTTCAGGATGACTGTGCTTCTGACTTGCCTCTTTGTCTTCTCATGAAGTTTGCAAGGCCTGTAGAAAGACTCATGATGCTCATCCTAACAGATGTAACACACCACTTGCACCTGACTCTTAGATGCTGATGATCTAACTACTTGCTTTGAGGACTCTTATTTGAAAAGGTCTGTCTGCCTCTGTGTATCTATTTGGGACTCGGACTTGCCCTCTTCGATGTGGCTTCCTGCTACCAGCTAAGGTGATTCCTTAAATGTCTTATAGTCTGGAGACACTGGTCTTTCAAAATTTGTCTTTGGGTTTAGAGATCTACCTGAGAGCTGTTTTCTACTGCTGTCTTAACAGGTTCCCTTCTGCCCAAATCTTGGTCAAATTTAACCTTAAAATTCAATTTGGGGATTATAAGGGAAAAGTAGGGAACAAGAAAAGCCCATATGTGAAAGTGACCCTATTAAAATGGTGAACGAGAATCAACGCTATGATAAAACAGAACTATTTTATGTTCCCAGCTTGATTACAGTCCTGCACCCCATAACATCGTTTTGGTTGATGCACGACAGGGGTCCCATAAGATTATAATGAAACTGAAAATTTCCCATCACCCAGTGACATTATAGCCATTATAATGTAGTAGTACAACAAATTACTCATGTGTTTGTAGTGATGCTGATGTAAACAAACCTATTGCGTTGCCAGTTGTATAAAAATATAGCACACGCGCAAAGTATAGAACAGAATACTGAATAATGATAATAAACAATTATGCTACTTGTTTATATATTTACGATAGTATACTTTTAATTGTTATTTTAGAGTATACTCATTCTGTGTAAAAAAAAAAAGGTAACCGTGAAAGAGCCTCAAGCAAGCCTTTCAGGAGGTTTTCCAGAAGACGTTGTTATCATAGGAGGTAACAGAGATGAGAGCTACATGTGTGTTACTGCCTTTGAAGTCCTTCCACTGGGACAAGATGTGGAGGTGGAAGATAGTAATATTGATGATGTTGACATTGTATAGTCCTAGTCTTTATGCGTTTGTGTATTCATTTTTAACAAAAAGTGCAAACAGAAAAAAATAGAGAAGACTTTACACCTTTATACAATAAGAAAATAAAGAGAATATATTGTATGGTTATACAGTGTGTGAGTTTTAAGCTAACTGTAATTATAAGAGTCAAAAAGTTAAAAAAAATAAGTTTATTAAAAAGTTACAGTAGGCTGGGCGTGGTGGCTCACGCCTATAATCCCAGCACTTTGGGAGGCTGAGGCGGGTGGATCACAAGGTCAAGAGATTGAAACCATTCTGGTCGACATGGTGAAACCCCGTCACTACTAAAAGTACAAAAATTTGCTGGGTGTGGTGGTGTGCACCTATAGTCCCAGCTACTCAGGAGGTTGAGGCAGGAGAATTGCTTGAACCCAGGAGGCGGAAGTTGTGGTGAGCCGGGATCTTGCCATTGCACTCCAGCCTGGGTAACAAGAGAGAAACTCTGTTTCAAAAAAAAAAAAAAAAAAAAAGTTACAGTAAACCAAGATTAATTTATTATTGAAAAAGTAAATGGTCTTTATGAATTTAGTGCAGTCTGAGTGTCCAGTGTTTATAAAGTCTACGGCTGTGTATAATGATGTTCAAGGCCTCCATTTTCACTTACTACTCACTCACTGATTCACCCAGAGCAATTGCCCCATTCCTGGTAAGAGCCCTATATATATATGCACATTTTTAAACTTTATATTGTATTTTTACTGTATCTTTTGTGTTTAGATATGTTCAGATACACATATACTTACCAATGTGTCACATTTGCCTACATATTCAGTACAGTAACATGCTGTACATGCAGTAGTCTATACTATTTAGGTTTGTGTACTCTATAATGTTCATGCAATGATGAAATCGCCTAACCACGCATTTCTCAGAAACATCTGTGTCATTAAGGGAAGGGACATATGACTGTACTTCTCCTACTCCTCTCTTCCAGGGGTACCTTAATCATATTTGGCTCTGAAAACTTTTTTCCTTATACACAATAACTGTAATAGTAGGTAATATACAAGACCCACAAGAGGCACTGAAGAAATAACCATCCCTTCTGAGTTTTCTAGATTATTAACAAAAAATGCTTTATTATCTATCAAACATCATATGAATGTGTGATATATAACCTCTTTTTATTTCTTTTTCAAAAAGTGTATTCATTTATTTTTAAAATTTCAGGATACATGTGCAGGTTGTGTAGGTTTGGTACATAGCTAAATGTGTGCCACGGTGGTTTGCTGAACCTGTCAACCCATCACCTAGGTATTAAGCCCAGCATGCATCAGCTCTTTTCCTTAATGCTCTCTCCACCCACCCTCCCTCAACAGGCCCCAGTAAGTGTTGTTCCCCTTCCTGTGTCCATGTGTTGCCACTGTTCATCTCTCACTTATAAGTGAGAACATGCAGTGCTTGGTTTGCTGTTCCTGCATTAGTTTAACCTAGCAATGCTATTACTGAGTATATACCCAAAGAAATATAAATCAGTCTATTATAAAGATATGTTCACATGTATATTCATTGCAGCACTATTCACAATAGCAAAGACATGTAATAAACTCAAATGTCCATCAATGATAGACTGGATACAGAAAAGGTGATATGGAATACTATGCAGCCATAAAAATTAATGATAGTATGCCTTTGCAGGGACTTGGATGAATCTGGAAACTATTATCTTCAGAAAACCTCTTTCTACTGAAGAAAAAGATGTAATACAAACTCAGCAATGTTACAAATTTGAAATATAATTATTTTGGATATAGCAATTTTAATATTTACTGTGGAATTAGTTAACAGATAATTATTTGTTTCTTTTATGCTCTATTTTTATCTATAATTTTCTTTAATAAAAATACCATAGAAAATCATAGTAACAAAATAGTTCTACATAGTGGAAAATCCAATTTGCTTTTAGCTTTTGTTTCAAAAGCTTGTCATTTGGCAGATAGAGTCACACTGTCACAGAACATACTTATATACAACAAAATATATTTCTTATATATAAACAAAAACTTTGTAAAATCCTAGAATCTTTGTCTTCTTAATAAAAGATAAATTATGATTATAAATCATTTTACTATAAGGATACATGCACATAAATGTTCACTGCAGCACAGTTTATAATAGCAAAGACCTGAAACCAACCCAAATGCCCATAGATGATAGACTGGACAGGGAAAATGTGGCACATATACACCATGGAATATTATGCAGCCATCAAAAATGATGAGTTAATGTCTTTGTAGGGACATGAATGAACCTGGAAACCATCATTCTCAGCAAACTGACACTAGAGCAGAAAATTAAACACCACATGTTCTCACTCATAGGCAGGTGTTGAACAATGAGAACGCATGAACACAGGGAGGGAGCACTACCCACTGGGGTCTATTGGGGGAAAATAGGGGAGGGACAGAGGGGCGTGGGGAGTTGGGGAGAGATAGCATGGGGAGAAATGCCAGATATAGGTGATGGGGAGGAAGGCAGCAAATCACACTGCCACGTGTGTACCTATGCAACAATCTTGCATGTTCTTCACATGTCCCCCAAAACCTAAAATGCAATTAAAAAAATAAAATAAAAATACTTATACTGAGAATTAATCAAATTAATATCGATGACCCCACACAGTACAAACTAAATGTGATCTGTTTAGTTTGTGAGATAAAAAACATGACCCAGGTGGAATGTTGGCTCCTCAAGTTAACAATATGCATGGTGACCTTTATGTATAAAATGAACAGAATTTTTACACCATGATTTATAGACAAGTGTATTTTTATAGAAGGATGATTAATGAAATAGCTTTATAAATCACTGATATTGATCTGAACAAGTTACTCAACAAAGCAATTAAAAAGATAACATAGAACAAAACTAATGTTTTAGTTTTTCACTTTTAGTGATGGCAAAGCCAGGCAATCAAATAAACATGTTTGTATTCACATTTGTGAATCTAAATATAACTTTACCAGAAAATCGGAGGCCAGAGTACAGTATTTAAAAAGAAAGTATTAATACATCTTCATGTTCTTATTATTAAAGATTTTTTTTTAATTTGATACAATTATTTTCTATAAATATGAAACTCAAGTAGCAGTAATTATTTTTCACAAACTAATCTGACAAAATTATTCTCATGAAAATGAACGGTCAATGCCAAGATGACTGACAGGAAGTAGCTCCTGTGCACTGAAAAGAGCTAGTGTTCCTGAACCCACAGGACGATCATTTGAGAAAACACAGTGGGATTCATCAAGGAAGCAAAGGAAGACAGACTGTAGAGAGGAATGAAGCTGGACGCCACCTGTCCAGGCTCAGCCTGGAGCCAGGAGAACCTCTCCAACACGGGAAAGGGTGAGTGAGTGAGAGGCCTGGGGTATTCACACTTTCCACAGGGACTTGTGCTAGACTAGGCATGAGATAATCACTGCACTTCTAGACTGAGACAGAAAGATGCCAGACAGTCTTGGGGGGCAACTGTCGAGTCAAAGGGTACCTCTACAAGACCTGGGTCCTGAAGCAGAGCGGTACGGGTGCTACATCCCCAGTACTGGTTGCAGTTGTGGTGCCTGGAAGCAGTAGGATTCCTTCAACCCACCTTGCCAGAGGGGACTTAGATTCAGCAGTCCTGCTTAGGCCCAAATTTGGCCTTCCACTTTGTCCACCTTCACTATGGGAGTTGAGCAGCATCTGCTAGAGCCTCCAGCCCAGCAGTCTTGCTTTTGTGTGTACTTAGCTGGAGGGTGCACCCTCCTGATGTCCCGGAAA